TATATATATATATATATATATATATATATTTTTTTTTTTTTAAATTTAGTGGGCGCAGCTTATATTTTTGTGTGCTCAACAGTCGAGAAATTATGGTAAAAAGTCTAGCATTCATTGAAGGACGCATGTTACCCATGACCTTCCTTTTTAGATCAGGATATGAAGTGGCCATCTTGGATTAGATTGACTCCCAAAACAAATGAGTTGCCGATGTACATTCAGTGATCACTTTCTAAAGGTTTTATTAAAATTTCAATAACCGTTCATGAGAAATTTTCCCAACAGACAAACAGGATAAATTTAATCAGGTATTATAGATGTTGTATATTAGCTGAATTCTAGCTCAAAGGTGAAATAGCAAAATGAATGTTAAAATTTCGCTCCAAAATCTTGCACAGTGAGTTGCACTTAGAGCACAAGTTGTGAATAACTCTCAGCTACTACCACATCAAATTTCAGCACTTTTTGTGCGAAACTAACTGAATTATACCTGTTTTTGTGTTTTCCAAGGAGAGATGGGTGTGATGGCCATTTTGAGTTGGGTTGGCTCCAAAAGTTAATCATTTGTAGAGCTACTTAAAATGATTATTTCATGAAAGCTTCATTAAAAACTGTCTTGTTGTCTTTATGATATTTTGCTAACAGACAAACAGAGCAGACTTCAAAGTGTTAATGGCATCAAATAAGCAAATATCTTGTGCAATCTGTCTGCCCTCAAAATATGTATTAGGGACTAGTCTCAGCTACTACCACACCACATTTTGAGTAAATATTTATAAAACTGGCTAAATTATAACAATTTGTGTGTTTTTTCAGTTCAGTTGCCTGTTGCAGCCATTTTGAATCTGGTTGACTTCATAAGTAAATCAGTTGTAGATGTACATCCAATGAATGAGATCTGCAAGTTTCATTGACATCTATTCAATGCTTCTTGAGATATTTTTCTAACAGACACACACGCACAGACATGGGGGAAAAACATTATTCTATTTGACCAACAACAACAGCAAAATTAAATTCAGGTAGAACAAATTTATTTAAAAAAAAGTAGTAAACGTTAAAGTAAGAGGATCACAAAAATCAAAGTTTTTGAAGACGACATTTTTCAAGTACGAGGGACTAGTGGGTGATGTCATCAATTTACAGAGCTGCAACAATATACATTGTAATATATTTTAATATATTAATAACACGTACGTTTGATCCACAGCAAACATGCTGAATGAGTTGATAATTACAATGAGGTAATTAGAGCTAAAAGAAGATGCATAAAAACACTTTCACTTTGTACTTCTTTACATTTTGAAAACTTAATAAGGATTTACGAGTCTGCATTTAACACACGTTATTTAACATTCCCACACAGTCTGATTAAAAACCAGCAGCAGATACTTTGACACACAGGCCTACATATGCAACATGTATTTTCTAGGCTGAGACCGCTGCTCTCTTGTGACTTAGAAAAGATTATAAAATGCTGACGGATGCACGTGAAACTCGTGTAAGTTTAGTTTTCTTGTGGGGTAAACTTATTGTGACTTGACTGTGAACAACCTCAGGCTCCATGATCTGCCAACTGGGTCAATTATCCACGCAGAGCAACAAGGACTCAGTGTGAACTGGGCCATGTTGTTTATTCCCGAGTGGTTTCGTGTGTTCTTCTTTAAGTTGATGTTTGTCTCTAAATGTGAAGCTGGAACGGGACAACCCGGTTTAATCCTGTCTGAATCTGGGCCATTTACTCAACAAACCAAAACAAACCAACTCTGACTGAGAACTAAATATATATATATATATATATATATATAAACAAGCTTACCTCATTCACTTCATCCCTGCTGCTATTTGTAGATGATATTTGAAAGATGGACGCACATTGTGGTTGAATTAAGACTGATCCCTTCCTCCTCCTCCTCCTCCTCCTCCTCCTCCTCCTCCCACAGATGCGTGCACTTGGGTTTGCGCATGCACAGTGTGACCGTGGGATTATCATCTAATCCTGAATGTGCACTAGTGAGATGAGTCTCGTTTCAGACACACGCAGGGATGTTTTTACACATGAGTCTGTAAAAAAATAAAATTAAAAACGCATAATCATACAGATTCTGTGAGACAAAGTTTATTTATTATTATCTTTTGAGAACTAAATGTAAAAGAATCACATTAAGTAATTTTTTTAAAGTAAAACATATTTGTATAAATATAATATATTGGGTATAATATTCAATCTTTACATAAATATTTTGTCTATAAATTATGATTTTGCTTGTGTCTGCATGTGCCTGTTAAAAAAAAATAAATCTCAAGAACCACTGGACAGATGTTGATGAAACTTGCAGAATATTATCACAGGATGAACATCGACATCTTGAGTCAGTCCCTTTCAAGATGGCCACTACAGCTAAGCTGCTGTGGTGGTACATGCAAAAATGGCTATAATAGTCAATTTTATAGATACTGAGTTTAAATTTGGTGTAGTTTTTTTTGGGGGGGGAGTCATTCCGAGCACATAACCTAAGTGCAAACAGACGGCACAAGATCTTTATTTAAAATGTACTATTTGATGTAACTCTGTCTGTCTGGTAACTAAATATCTCATGAACCAGAGGATGGATTTTAATGAAACTTTCAGAAATTGATCACTGGATTTAGATCAAAAAACGATTATATTTTAATATCAATCAAATTCAAGAAGGTCACCACATCCAACTGACATTATAAAACACAGAAATGGCCATAGTATTGTCAGTTTTACATATAATTTGCTAAAAATTTGTGTGGTAGCTGAGAGTCGTTAACAAAACATATTATAAGATCACATGATAAACCATGAGACTGACTAATTTTATTTTCAAGGTTTGACTAACATCGGTGAATGGTGACAGGCCATATGCACACTTAACAAAATGCTGGGCCTTTAATCGTCATTTCATTTAACATTTAAATTTAATTCCTAACATATAATGAGAGTATCGAAAAGCATGTAAAATTTAAAAGAAAACAGAAATGTAAAACTCAGTCATCAGAGGCAGTTTACCTCAAATGCTTGAAGTCTCTTTTAAATAAATAAATAGTTTAATGATTAAGGAGTTTGGAAGTCATTCAAAAAGGAAAAAGACTCCAGGCGAAAATCTGGCAGATGAAATCTCCTCATTCTCCGTATTAAAGCCAACATAACTGAAACAAACAGATCTACAGAGAGCTGCAGGGGTTTCTTCTTCAATGAGTACATTTACTTCTTGAAGCAAAGGGAAAGACGAAACATACCAAATCTACTAATACCACACAATTCAAAGAAAACCAAAAAAGTTGTATATCTTGAGGCGAGAATACGATTCTGAGAAATAAAATCAACAAACCATTTTCCACAAGTCCTGCAATACAGATAATGTATATTCAATTCAGTTCAATTCAGTTTATTTATATAGGACCAATTCACAACAGAAATCGTCTCAGGGCACTCAACAGAAACAATATATCAATATATATATATTATTTATGAAAAGTTGTATCTGTAAAATATCCAATAAGCCGAGACAAAAGAACCATAAAACTATCTACATTATTTTTATACTTGTGAACTGTAGAGGAAACCCATCACGATTATCCAAAGACATAAATTTCTCTATACTTTGGTAATTCTTCATTCTGCTTCGAGGATTTATATTAAGTGAACGAGACACAGAGAGGAATGTCCTGAATGGGCATGTTGTTGTTTTCTGTGCTGTAAGGCTCAGTGTGTCACAAGCTTATTACAGAGTAATTGGAGCACAATAACCAGTGAACAGCTCAGCCGTGCTGGATGTGGACTTGGTTTAGTTTGAGATAGCACTTGGAAGGTTTCAGGGATGACTGTTTTAACCCTCTATCGTTATTATAATTGAATGTAATTGTGTTTTTTACTCAGCTGTGCAGACTGATCCTAAATATTCATCAGTTAATTAAAGAGCACAAACACACACCTTCTAGGTGACATGAAGAGACATCTTTAATACAGATAAGACGATAATGAATCTTCACAAACATTGGAACAATTCAACACTTTTAAAATGTTTTCACGAAGAAAGAAATAATAGTCTTTTCATGCCCCATTTTTGATACAACTATGTGGCTTTTACCAAATCTATTCATGTAAACTGCCAGGAAATCTAATGTAATGTAATCTAAAACAATGAAATGTAGTGATATATTTGGGCCTCATCCTCAGTAATGAGGGCGTTGCTTTGGCTGGCCATGGTGAAGAAATAACGAAGGCGAAAAGCAAAGCTCGACTAACCTTTTTACAGTTATGAACGTGCATGTTTAAAGTTTAAAGTCAGTAATTTGAGATGCATTCTGGTCTAAATAGTTTCATGCCTACTTTTGGTTAGTTGAAATACATTTAAACAATGTTCATATCTAACTGTTTCAGCTGTGCTCTGCAGTCATTCAAACACCGGCAACATGGCATGTCACACTTACAACGTAAAATACCCATAAAACTCATTTACAAACATGTTTGTATATAATAGTCAATCAAATAGAAAGTGTAAAGGACACAGATATGAAACTATTGGAGTCACAGTGCCTGATTTTATGCATGCGCATTAGAAACTGTTAAAAGGTCAGTTTACTGGTCCACCTATGTTCCAGTCCTCATATATGACCATGAGGTATGGATGGATCATGGCCAACAGAATACAAGCAGACAAAATGAGCTTCTTTCATTGGCTGGCCAGACTCAGCATTAGAGATAGGGAGAGGAACTCCACCATCTGGGGCCAGCTTGGAGTAAAGCCGCTGCTCCTTCACATTGAAAGGAATCAGTTGAGGTGGTTCGGCTTCTATTAAGATGCCTCCTGGAGGCCGCCCCTTTGAGGTGTTTCAGACATGCCCTGTACTGATGAGAAGTTCCAGGACAGACGCAGAACTCGCTGGAGGGATTGTGTATTGTTTTTCTGGCCTGGGAACACCTTGGGGTCCCGCAGGACGAGCTGGAGAATAGGGAGTCCTGCCTGTTGCCTCTGCGACCTGACTACAGATTAGCGGTAGAAGATGGAGATGGAGAAACTTAGATAGTATTTGCTAAATAAATACATAAATAAATAAAATTAAGTGTTTTCCATTAGTTTTTTTTTTCTGATCAGAAAATGTTGGTAATGTTTTAAGGGTTTCCCAAGCTTAAGCCACATTTTCTCTTTTATTGCGACGTTTATTTTTATTTAATGCTATCCTTGAGTTCTTTACTCCGTCGTATTTGTAAATGACAAATAAAGTAAAACCCCAGAATAAGACAGAACATTCAGTACTGTACTCAACAGTACAGTACTGAATACTTTGAGGAAACATAATGCGTTAACGAAGCTTTATTTTGAAAATCCTAAACGGAAGCGTTACTTTCCCTCTAGTAGCGGGTTGGTCACCGGCGTCGACGTGGATCAAGTTTGACAAAGAGAGCGATTTTATTTTACCTAATGCTCCTACTCTCTACGTTTACATAAAGTAAATCTAAACAACTGACAAAATAAATTCAAAAATAAAGCCGGACAGCAGCCATTGGCAGTAACGGTTGGTACACTTCCGGTTTTTATTCTCGGACAAACACTGCGACCTCAACGATGGTCCGCAACAAGGAAACCGAATCCGAGCCTCGGTTTTACGGTTTTACCCGAACACTTTCGGCAGGGTTGATTCATCTCATTTCTTTGATCTTTTCTGTGTTTATTGCCTTTTTGTCTCGACCCGGAACAAGTGAGTTCTAAAATTAACCAGTCTTTAAACGTTTCTTCTTCTTCTGTCACGTACAGTATTTGTTAATTTTTTCTAAATGTCTTTATTTACAGGTTTGTTTTCATGGCATCCTTTCCTAATGACTCTAGCAGTAAGTTGAACTCTAAGCACCAACAGACTGAGCAAGATCTTTAACTTATATATAAATATAAATAAATAAATAAATAAATAAATATAAATATATATATTTATATATATTTATATATATATATATAAATATGTATAAAAAAATTATATATATATATATATTTCATGAGGGGGAGTGGTGGTGCAGAGGCTTGAGAAGGCGAACCTGTGATCGGAAAGTCACCGGTTCGACTCCATGGACCAGCATCAAAAATGTGGATGGGAAATGTGAAACACCCCCATCTGCCTCCACCCTCATTTGCCCCATGCTTGGCCCTTGAGCAAGGCCCTCGACCCCCACCATCTGCTCCCCTGGGTGCCCTAGATGGCAGCTCTGCTCCACACAGAGGGCTGTGGTAGCTCGGAGGGCTGTGGTTGCATCAGGAAGGGCATCCGGCATAAAAACAATAGCCAAGTTGTGGTGCAAGTTAGTTTACTTTGGCAACCCCAGAAGAAGAGAGCAGCTGAAAGAAGAGAAACAAAGTTAAAGATTTGATTCAACACATTCGTTAATGAAACGACCCTGATTAAACTTTTCAAAGCACGTGTTAAAGTTCGTTGTCAGTAATATTAGTCATCTGTGTAGTTTTCAATTAAACATTGGACTTGATTTGTAAATGACTGTGTTGTCTATTTGTAGGTTTTAAAAAGATTCTAGTAATGTGCACAAAAATGATGGGGTGATCATGAAATAATTTATTTTTATTTTTTCGTAGTTCACCTTCATGACAGAAGCCATCCTTCTCTTCTCGCCTCATGGATCCATCATCAAAAGATTTACACACAAGACGAAAGGCCGTGTCCACTGGGTCCTGCAGAGCCTCTGTTGCCTCTGTGCAGCTCTGGGCCTGGCTGCCATCTTTTACAACAAACACCTGAATGGTAAAGCCCACTTCACCTCGTGGCACGGTCTGCTGGGCCTGCTGACGGTCTGTGTGGTCGCTGGCCAGTCCTTGGCAGCGCTGCCTCTCGTTTACCCTTCTCTTGCCAAAGGCTGGTCCCTCGCCAAATTCAAGCGTTACCACGCGGCGTCTGGACTCGTCACCTACCTGCTCGGCAGTGCCAGCCTGCTGCTCGGGCTGTGCTCCACGTGGTTCACGGCGTTCGTCAGGGAATACGCTTGGTACCTGGCAGCACTATGCCCCGCTCTCTGCGCCGTCGTCATAATGAACCAAGTCTCCAGTGGTTACATAGCTAAAAAACGGCTGCAATCTTAACTGAAAACAATGTGGACAGTTAACGGGTTTACATATTTTATCTCAGGTTGTAAATTGTCTGTCTTCACCTAATGATATTAGCATGTTTGTTTAAAGGCTTTCATTGCAAAGTCAAGAGTACTGGACAAAAAATTCTGGTTCCCAACCCAGGTCCCTGAGGAACACCACCCTGCATGTTTTAGCCGTTTCCCTGCTTCAACACACCTGACTCAGTGATTTAATTACTTCAAGTTCTGCCGAAGCCTGTTAACCACCAAATCATTCAAATCAGGTGTCAAAGCAGGGAAATAGCTAAAACATGCAGGAAGGTGTTCCTCAAGGACCAAGGTTAGGAACCACTGCATTTAGCAACAAAATCAGCACAATACTTTTTTTTAGGGGTGCACCAATAAATTAGCCCGCTGATTTATCGCCCGATTTCCTTAATTTTGGGAGATTGGAGATCGGCTGATACTTACACGAGAAACCGATTTTACTAATTTTTTTTTGTAGTTTAAACAACAATTGTCTAAACTTCATTTATATTTCAGAGCACTACCTCATAGCCATTTTAAACAAGTTTGCATTGTTTCTAAGATACTGTTCAAGGGTGTTTTTTTTTTTTAATAAAACAAAATTTGAAAACTGAAGGTGCATTGTGACCTTATAACACCTGACAGTGTTGCTTATCGAACAAAATCGGTATCGGCAGGTCAGACTTTTTAGTGATCAGCCAGAAAACTGAAATCGGTGCACCCCTACTTTTTTATGCTAACATTTAATGTGTCCTTAAATTTAAAGTTTATATACAACTTTATGGCCTTATTATTTTTTCCTTCTAAGACTACAGCCACACGAATATACCGTATGTCAGTCAAGTTACTCGAGCTCCCACGTGGTTTTCAGAATCAGTCGAGTGCTTTGAGTTTCAGTATATTTGAAGGGTATTCCAAAAAGCAGGTTTAATAAACTCAGCAAGTTTAGAGAAACTCTTTTGGTTCCACAAAGGATCAAATTCACTGATTAATATCGGTAACATTCCCCTCTTTCAAACCTTTCTGAAATATTCCCCCGGAAAACTATTGGGAGTAAACTTTTTAAATGGATTAATTTGCTATAGTTCAGGATAACCGGTCTGATTTCATACTTTATGACCTTTAAAATATGCATTGTTACAGTACAAGGAAGTGCAGGAGTCCTCTGTTTTACATACGTTCAGTGTTGATAGGTGGGGACAATTTGGATTTTTTTTTTTCCACCAACAGAGTAGATTAGGGAGAATATTAAACTTTTGTGTCAGTTTTAAGACTAGCTTTTTAAAAAAAAAAAAATCTACAGAGTCATCAAGAAATCAAATTAACTTTCAAGTAAGTGAAGGCAATGATGCGTTCAGGTACAGCTTGGAAATTGGTGAAAAATGTTTCCAGTTTGGTGATGAAATTGAACTTTTGTTTGCTGAAAGACTTATTGGCCTTGCTTTATTAGCAATTTTGTTCAAGCTGACTTTTATTTAAAACTTTTTGTATTTTTGAGAAAATAAATTTAGTTTTTGTTTTAAATCAGCATCTTTAGGTCCTATTAAGTGCTGAAGCTTTTTTTTCTCTCCATTTTTATCCAATTAGGTTTAGAGATTTGTTATGCCCAAATAATAAATCCACATCAGTCTAATATATATACTGGCGTATTTATTTTAGAACTATCATTTAGTTCAGTTGTAATGTGACTTGAGTTACATTTACAAAAGCTAATGAAGTCCCAATCAGTTTACCTTGTCTTTATGAACTTACTGGACTGATGAGAGTGTGACAAAGTGAGACTCAAAGCAGTCTGCTCATCAGATAAATGTTAACGTACTTTTTATGTATATGAATGTTTCTGTTCAGTGCCCTGAGACGACTTCTGTTGTGACTTGGCACTATATAAATAAACTGAATTGAAGTGAGTACAAACATTCTGAAATAGATATTTCTATATACTGTAAGCAATTCACACTGCAATAGAAGAGTGTTTTATTGTTCAAATAACATTAATATGACATAGTTATGTTTTAACTTTGATTTAGGCTGCTGGTATGAAATTCTTATTGAATCAGCCATTAATGGATCAAAGTGAACAAAAAGTAAAAAAAGAAAAAAAAAAGATTACAAAAACATTTTTCATTATAAATAAGTACAGTTCAGACAATTAAATGAAAATTAGGGACACGACAGTGAAGCGAACGAGGAAGAAATCATGAAAAACATGATTTGAATGGGATTATTCTAGAAGAAAGACAAAAGGTGAGGGCTACATGAATAAAAAAGTAACGATAAAGACATGGGATCACTATAATGTATTTTGTACAGTTCCTCTGCTGAAATGATCCTTTTACAAAGTACTAGCGCCACCTTAAAACCTAAAGCTCACTAAATTAGGTTTGGACAATAATAAAAAAAAATAAAACACTAAATCCATGATGGAAATGAAGCAGCTGGGGAGACAAATCAATAAAAGTGGAACAGTACTTAAAACTGCGGGGCCGAATGATCCCCACAAGAAACCATAAACATAACTTCATAGGGAATGATGTGTTGTCTCAGCTTATCCAGTGTTTTCTAAAGGCTAAGAATCACTGCAGCGAGCCTAATGTACCCAGACGATGGTGGCTTCTCTAAATCTAAACATCTCGAAGCGCCGCGACAACACAAACAGACGGCCACAGAGAAGAGCACCTAAACTCCCAAATGCAATGCGCACCTACGCTAACCGACACGACCGACGGAAACTACACACGCCGCACTGCGTCTAAGGGAAAAGCGATCACAGAAGAATGGCACTGTCAGTTTTGTAAGGCCACTGCATCGTCAGCAGGTTGTGCCACAGTCACCGGCAGTTGAACAGATATATTATCTGGTTAGATGGTTTGTGGCTACATTGACTCGAGGCTTCACCTTCCCACGCTGTGCAAATGTAATTGTTCCTATAGTTTGGGGCAATATTTGTTCTCAACGAATTGAAATGCTCGTGTCCTATGGGGTGCAGGATAAATGATCCAAGTCCAGAAAAAAAGAAAAAGTTGGGGAACTTCTGTAAGAATCCAACGAAAGAAAAGCTACGCTAAAACAAACGAGCTACATCACTCCTTGGTTTGAGCTCCTTTTGGCTTTCGCTCTTGCTGCGGTTTCTGTTCGAAACACGTATTTTTGAGTTTAATGACCGTCACCGATTCCTCTCACAGGTAGATAAAAAGCCGATTGGTACAACAAGTAATTCCTAAAACACCGTTTGTGTTATTTAAGGCTAAAAATTAAAGCACACTGTACAAATCCATGTCCCAGTCCCTGTTGTTGACGAAGGCTAGCATGAAGGTACATTCGTTTTTAGTTTTAAGGGAAACAAAGTAAATGATGAAACTGAACATAAATTTGTCTGTCCAGCCTCAGAGCTGGGGCGAGTTTATCATGAGTTACTGTAATATTAAACAATCTCGCTACGACCAAAATCTACACACTGCACAGTTTGACTTGCAATATAAACAATGATAAAGACTGTTATTTACAAAGTATGAACATCTTGAGTTATAGCGTCACACATCTTTTCAACAGGGGATGCTACAATGTCTATCAAACTGCTAAAGACTAAAATATGCTCTGATTGCCTAAAATTTCTAGTTTAAAGGTAAGCCTCAAAGGTTTTTCTCTGTGTATCATGGATCTGACCGACTAAGACCCCGTTATCGACTGCAGAGGTTTGCAGCTTTTCACTATAAAAGATAGAACTAATGACAATAGGAGTACATCATTGTTCAACAGGAGAGCACAGCAAATTAAATCCATTTGCGCCCACTGTTCCACAGCAACATACCACCAGAAAAATCCTACATTAAACAGTTTTAACACGTTTTCACATGAAGTTCTGCACAGCGACACCTTGAGTAAAAACGTAGCAGCCGAGGCTGCGCGCAGCCCCTGAAAGTTTCAGCTGGCAAAAGGTCTGTTCCCATTGATCTGCTGCTCCAGTCGAACAAGTCCGAGATATTCAGCATTAGGATTTTTGTAACTCTTGACCATTAAGGGGATTCTCTCATTCGCAGGCGACAGTCCACGTGTGTACTCGGAGCATTAGGAGTGAGAACTGTTTTATTTCACTGGTGACTGAAGAATAAAACAGCCAAATATTCGTTATTAGAATCTTTGCCATCTTGTATTGTTTGTGTTCAGGATTAAAAAAGTCTTTACTTCCTGAGAATAATGTAACATATTTTTTTAACCTGTTTAAATCTGTATTTGTGATCATTTATTTCCATTAATGAGAGATTTTACCAGTTATTGTAAGGGTTTTAATTCATTTTTGAATAATCATTCCCATTAATGTGTTTTAGGTCAAACATGCTGGACTGTGGGGGCTGTTTGAAATTTTACTGTCCTGTCACCTCTATAACATCGTCATCAGAACTGTCCCCTCCATTTACCGAACTCTGGTGTCTGTCTGGTTGGGTCAAAGCCGCCCCCAGCAGGCTGGAAGCGGGGTTGTTGAAATGGGAGAGGAAGCCGGATGCAGCAGAGTTGGAGTTCGGTGCTGAGAACCCCGCCGTCCCCGGCAGGAGAGTGGTGGGGAACATTGTTGGTGCAGAGAGCAGCGATTGACTGTAGCTGAGAGGGAAACTTGGAGAAAGGAGACCAGCCATGTTGGGGTTCATTAAATACGGAGGCAAAGGAGCAGACGAGAGGGAGGAAGAAGTTCCTGCTGAGGGTGAAGACGACATAGGAATGGTGGCGGACGTAGAAGAGAAAGCAGAGGATGAAGGGGTAGGAAGGTGCCCGTTACCCGTAGCAGGTTGTCTCAGTAAGTCTGCACCTGCATGGGGGAACATGGACGGTAAGTCAGCCAGAGTTTGTCCTGGAGGTTGAAGGAACGATGATCCACTACCAGCCATTAGAAGTGGCTGACTCATGTGGCCGAGGTTTCCCAAAAGAGACGAAGAGTTCAGAGCCACAGGTGGGAAACTGAGTCCACTCGAACCCAGAGGCAGGCCTGGAAAATGAGCTGCAGCTGAAGTGTGTTTGCCTCCCGTTGGAGCGATGTTGCCCTGGTTTTCATTGCGCTTGCGTTTATTGCCTCGCACCTCCAACGCTGAACTCAGGAGGTCGTCAGGGACTTGCCTCCCAAAACCAGTCTGTGAACTGCCTCCGTTTCCTGCAGGCGCAGATGACATGTCCGATAGCAACGACGGTTCGTTTCCTGTGCCAGAAGAGGCTTCACCTGTGGTGTAGTTGCTGAGCTCTCTGAGAATCTCAGAGCTTGAAGGAGAGGAAGGCCGCTGGTCACTGTTCGGAGAGTGTTGCTGCTGGTCGACAGGTGATGAACAACCGTTACTGACTGGCTGCATCAAGGAGCCCTGGGTATCTGGGAGAATAACAAAAAATATGCCATCATTCCTACTAATATACAATTTATTTTTAGGGATTATCACAAAAACAGCATGATTACAGTCTCAAGTTATTATGAATAAGGCAGTAATTGATTAAAGTACTTGCTTTAATCACAGGCCTTACTTGTCATGAAACAGAAAAGATGGACAGGAGCACAAGAGCCCATTCCTCTAGGGCAGAGGTCACTATAGATGGACCTCGATCAGGATCCGGACCGAGTGATGGTTCTGTCCAGACCCGTGCCCAGTCTGATAAATTCATGAAAATAGATAACTTTCATGGAGCATTTTTCCAGCGATAAACAGCTTAGGTGCAGAGCTGCAGGAGGTGTGTTTTGGAGGTTCACTCTACTTCAGGTGTTACGATAATCGCATCACTCGGTTAATGAGCCAATCAAATATTTTGTTTTCTCTGCACTGGCAGTGCAGCGAGCTCTCACCAGAGATGAGTTGAGAAGGATCAGAGAGGAAGAGACAGCATGTTGTGCTCCAAAATAAGAAAAGTCGATGCTGAAAACCGCAGTTTTACAGATGAATGGACAGAAATGTATGTCCATTCTTCCAGCAGGCAGTTCAAAACCTGTTTGCCTCATATGCTCCGAAACGGTCGCATTAATTAAAAGTAGTAACATGAAGCGCTCTTCACTACACCTCTTTTGAGCAACATTATCTGTTGAAGTCCAAGCGGAGAGCAGTAAATTAACTGAACTGCAAGCCCAGTATGACGGATCCACCCTCCTCATCACAAATACTTTTACAGCCCAGCAGCGTGTTGAATGTTCACTCAAGGTATTGTGGATTTTGGAGCAACATAAAAGAAACGTTTAGTGACGGGACAGTCCTGAAGGAGCGCTTAAATGCTGTTGCTGAGACATTTGATGGAAAACAAAATGATGAGATGTGTGAAAAAAATCAAACAAATCCTGATGTCAGCTTCAACAGCAAGCAGAAAATCAGAAATATTAGCAGATGATGTTCTGGCACAGCTGTTCAAAGTGCACCATGCATATCTTTGGCCATCAATGAGTCTACAGATGTTAATGCTCAGTTATATGGCTCTGATTCCATTCTAACCAAGATTTAAATTACTGGCAGGACAATCCCATGACCATTTCTCTCATTAAGAAAAGTAAAATAAAGAACAAGCAAAAGAGAAAACGTGGTGTTAAAAGCCGTTTTCAAATTTTCCTAAAAGAGACAATTTTATTTATTGTTTTCTCAAGATACTGATGTGTTTTACTTGAAAACTTATATTTCTATAGGTTGGTGCGTCTTTAGGCAAAAAAAAGAAAAAAAAGAAAAAAATGATTTCTTGCTCTGTTTTAACTTTTTATACTAAAAGAGACACTTTTTTTTATTGTTTTCTGTTTTCTAAAGATGTTAACATTTTTACTTTAAGTAAAAGCCTTCAATTCTTTAGGCTTGGACCTCTTCAGTTTAAGATAAAAAGGCTTATTAGTCTCTGTTTGCACATTTAATATGTATTTTATTCTGAGCTTTCTGTTTTAATCTGAAATAAAGGCCATACATTTATTTGTCTGGAATTACTTTTAAATATGGTAAAAGAGCTAGTTGTTTACTATAAAGTGCAGTTTGTTAACAGTGAAAATGTGAACATACAGGTAGGCAGGACCATAAAAGACAAAAGTTGAACTTTCGTTCAGACTTTTTACTAGGAGGAAATTTTAGTAACTGGACCTCAGTGAGTTTTAATTGAACACCCCTGCTCAAGGGTGTATGAGTCCTGTGCATCTTTAAAACACAAAATCACATGGGAGAACACAAAAATAAATAATGAAGTTGCACCTCTTAAAGGAGCAGACGCCCCGATCACTGGTCTGCTCATCTTTCCTGATCGAATTGCAAAAATCCTTCCGTCGTTCGTCCTGATGTAAGTACCTGGGTCAGAGAAAAACCCAATGTGATTTAAGTGATTTATTTATACTTGCAGAGATTCATACTTTAACTTTTCCCCCCAAAGAAAAACCTTTAGATCCTCTGATAATATGGATGCTCTCTCCTGCAGGAATGCGAGCTTGAATATCTGACGGACCATTGAGTCCAGGGATTACAATATCTGTTAATCCAGATAAAAAGGTAATTAGACTAAATTTTTGAAGTTAAAGAAAATGTAACATTCAATGAAGGGGTTGAAGTGGCAATATCAGTTATAAAAAGAAAGTTCAATACCACTCGTGGTGACAATCCTTTGCACATAAACTCCAGCTTTCTGCAGGAAGTTGAGAGGGAGGCTGCCTGTAGGACTGAAACCTGACATCCCCATGCCGACCTGGCGAGGCATCATTGGGATTGGCGTCGACTGGATGGGCCGGACACTTGCTACTGGCTTGTCATCTGGTCGCGTCAAGGAACGCCTGGAAATGTAAGAAATGAGCTTGTAAGACAATCACACGTACTTCAGCAGCAGTATTTAGTGTTAGAAACACACTGGAAACAAAAAGTGTGCAATCTAAAATTAGTTTAGTTTGAATTTATAGCTGCAAATACAGAAGAGGTTATATTAGCAACAAATGTAATTGGGAGTCTAGAAACAAACTATCATTAACTCAAATAAATGACGGAGAAAACCTGCAGGTGAAATCTAAAAAAGTTATGTCTGGTCCTCTGGACATTCAAATAAAACAAACAAAACAAAAAATTGTAGATACGTTTCGTCTTTCATCCGAAAGACTTCTTCAGTCTGAGGTGCTGTCTTCAGCTCAGTCTTATAAATGGCACCTTCTCGTAATGGATCAACCAGTTTGCTGCTGACACCCAAAACCAGCTGCTCACATGATCAAGAAGGACCATCAGCATGTGAGCAGCTAGTTTTGGCTGTCAGCAGCAAACTAGTTGATCCACTACGAGAGGATGCTATTTATAAGAGTGAGCTGAATACAGCACCTCAGACTGAAAAAGTCTTTCGGATGAAAGACGAAACGTTTCGCCTTTTTTTTCTTTGTTTTTTGAATGCCCAGAGGACCAGACTTAACTTTTTTAGATTTTTCTACCTGAATTATTGAGCATGCATCAGGATACTGCAGGTGAAACCTACCAGCCGCGTTGATTAAAGGCTGCTATGCTCGCAAGCGCATGTTCACTCGTTGGGTAATAGGGGGCGTACGATGGGCGAGAGTAAGGGACGGAGGCTCGCTTCTCATCCTCGTAGCTTTTCTTTGCAGCTCTCTTCTCTGCTTTGGTCAGTTTTGACTCCTTGCGGTCCACCAGCAATGACTCGTGGTGGAAAGGTGGCTTCAGTGTCACATGGAACAAAAATGTAAAATGGTAGATCAACAAAGCTGTGTTTTATAATAACATCAAGTTATTTGACAAATCATTTGGGATTCAAAGTTATTTCATAAAGTCATTTCTGAAAGTAATAGAGGGGCAGGGTAGGTTGAACTGATAACTTTCACATTTTGGTAATCTTGTTGATGCTTAATGCTGAGATGAGTTTACAACACTGCAGAGAATTGTGACCTCAGGTTTAACTAAAGTTATTAATCAAAGCAAACAAATAGTTTCAGTTTAATCCTCGTTTTGATTAAAGATGTTACAGTTATAAAGATAAACAGGAGTAAATGTGCAAGATATGCTGGAAAATTCAAAGTAAAAGATTTCAGGGCTGAAAAGATTTCTGTGTCTTTGAACTCTAAATACCACAGCTGGACCAGCTCAACACATCTGTCTATTCTGCCTTCTATTCAGCCTTCAACAGGTGAATGATCAAACTGTTGGAAAAAAACAAAACAAAAAAAAACCTTGGAACAAAAATTCCAGGTAAGGATTTGCTCTTTACATTTACTCATGCACTTTTATTATTCAGAATATACCGGAGTTATCTTTTTCAGGTAGGACAGAACAAAAATCCACAGAACAGGAACTAACCTTTCCTGTTGGGTTCTGAAATATGCATGTAAACACTACTTTCAGCAACATCTTTTATGCAGTTGTACCTTTGTAATGAGGTTTGGGTAAAACTGGCAAGCTTGACCTATCACTGGTTCTAAGACCTCCTGAGATTCCAGCAAGAGTTTTTCAACGTCAGGCTCCTCTTCGACAAAATGCATCAGTGACTCCACTTCCTTACGGGTGAAGTTCAGCATTGGGTTCAAGTCGTCAACTACACGATCTTTAAAAAGAAAGGTACAAGTATAAGTGAAAGATTAAAAAAAAAAACTCCACCTAGTTACAGTGAGTCGGTTAACGAGCTGAGATTCTTACCAGACATGCCCTGTTTGGAGACCTGCCGGTCATAGATCTTCTTCTCCAGTGTAAAATCACAGACAAGACGGTAAATGTAGCAGTGCTTCCTCTGACCGTAACGATACACGCGACACACTGCTTGGGCATCGTGACAGGGGTTCCACGATGCGTCGAACACAATAACCCGACTGGCACCGATCAAATTGACCCCCAAACAGCCGGCTCTGAAACAGCAAACAAATGATAAACTTTCTGCATAAAAAAACAAGATATGAAAATGATCCAATGAGCACAACGTATGAAGACAAACCTGGTAGAAAGTAAGAAAACCCATGTTGACGTGTTCTCTGGATCATTAAACTGATTAATAAGCCGTTCTCTCTCTGAGGCAGATGTACTCCCATCCAGTCCTGCGGACAGAAGGAAGAAGAATGGACACCAACTCGTAACTGAAACAACTGAACCTTGAGCTCTTAACTGCAACAAAATTAGGACAGTTTTAAGTCATTAACCTTTTTTACATCTCTTTCATCCCTTCAAAGACATAAACTGACTGGAGGATAATTGCCACGTATGAATAATGCCAATTCTATAAATAAGATGTGCCCGTCAACATGAATTTATCCAGATTACGGTGAAACGGGAGCAATTTGAGGCAAAGAAATGATATCTACACTTAAAATAACTTTATTTTTTTCAATGAAATCTATACTTTTACAACTTGTTTGAAAGGAATCACAGATTAGATGAACTCACTGTAGTAATTGAGGTTGCGAACCCAGTTTTGATTCTTGCTGTCAGTAGTGGCGATGCCTTTGGGCATTTGTCTCTTTGATAAGAAGTCCTCAAGTACCGTCAGGGTGGACAAACTTTGACTAGAATAAAACAAAATAAAAATGTGTAGGAATAATAAGCTTGCTCTTAAATAAAGCTAGAAAACAGGCACCAGTTACTAACATTTACACAAACATGCAGCATTTTTTTTACATTACATTAGTTGTGCTACAGACCCACTTATTTAGAAATGGACAGTGTGGTATTAGCAACTCTTTACTTTGATTGTGAACAGACAAAAAATTGATTGAAACATGACAATTCAAACAGTGATTCTCTCTTCTACCTCCCAATCTCTGTGTAAAAAGTCTAAATTACTAGCCAAACAGCAGCCAGGCTTTTTTACAAGCTGCTTTAGAGTGAATTTGTGTTTAATGTTTAAAATCAGGACAGAGGGCTTACCTGAAGACCAAAACCTTGTCTCTTCTTCTGACACTTTCATCAATCAAGTGAAAGAGCAGAACCATTTTAGCAGAGTTCTCCAGAACGCCAATTTGGTAGTTTGACATTATGTCCTTTGCCTAAAAAACAATGTTTGAGCACTGAACGTCAACTGTATGGTAACAATGGAGGACTATTTAAAGCTAATTAGTTAATAGTTGAGCTCAACTAGAAAAATACAACAAAAATGGTGATATATCAGCTTGAGGGTCAATTTTTCATGACCTACCCATTCATATGTGATGACCTGATTAGCTCTGTCTTGAGATGGATTGAGTGGTGGCAGGTCGTTGTTGACTTTGCTGTTGCTTGAGTCCGATGCTTTGGTCTTCAGACCGGCGCTGGGAGCAGGGCAGCGAGGGTTACTGGCTGAGGTGATGTCATCGAGGTCCAGGTCCTGCTCGTTGGCCTGGTTTTCCTTTTGCAAGGCTTCATAAAGGACATCTGGGTGATTCCAGATCTGTACACATCAAGGGAACAGTTTTAACCAATGTAGAAAAGTTAAACTTGTAACTACTAAACATTAGAGAAAAGCAGTCGTACTTTGCAGCAAACACAGAAGGCCTTGAGTGGGTTGAGACCGAGCCAACCACTGTTTCCTGCTTCTCGAAAGCGCTTCATGAACTCAGTATACAGCGCCTTCTGAATGGGCGAGAGGCGTACCAAGATCACAAACTCCTCTTTACTTGGAAGATGGCCTCTCAGCACATCATGGCCTCGTCTGCGCAACCAGAAAAGCAGTGTTACAAAAAATTTGATTATTATGTTTAATTTCTGTGTGACAAAAGTTCACCTCTGAACGAAACCCTCCAACAGGCTATACAGCACATGACTGCGGTAGCGCATCAAGCGGACATCTTGAGGCGTGCTGTCCATACACTGACCGTTCAGGATGGGACGCTCGAACATGTTGCTAAATTCCTGCCGCGTGCCTAAAAAGTCCGGCCTGACAAAATCCACCATGCACCAGTACTCGATAAGGTTGTTCTGAAGTGGGTAACCTGTTAGAACCACCCTGCGCCGGGAGCGAATGTTCTTCAAGGCTTGCGACGTGTTGGCGTGGTAGTTCTTGATGCGGTGACCCTCATCACAAATCACCACATCAGGGCCAGGCCGTGTGATCGCCTTTTCTATCCCTGAAAAGAAAGAATGAACCTTGAGATAAAAAAGCAACAGTAAAGTTAAAAAAAAAAAAAAAAACTCTTGTAGCTCATGCTGGTGAAGTTTCTCAGTCATCCAGGACATGATGAATTCAAAACGTGTTCAATACAAAAACAACTGGACTTTATTTGTAACAGAAGACGTTTCGCTCCTCATCCGAGGAGCTTTCTCAATTCGAATTGA